TGCGCTTCTGCCCGAAATACACAGAATCTGCGGGCAGCACTGCAGTCCTCAGGCACATGTTCTGCGGCCGGCCTGATTAAAGCCCTCTCCGCTGCGCTGACATGGGCTCCTCGCTCTGGCTCCCCTCCAGATGTTCAGAAGTTCCACCAGCCTTGCCATCAGCCCTTCTGTGTTATTACTTCACCATGCAACCCTCCTGCGTCGAAACAAAATGCATTCTGTAACCGAATTTGAGGATGGAGTGGAAAAAAGGATAGTGGAGGGGAGATTATTGTGGGTGTCTTCAGCTTAGGACTGTGTGGTTATAATTTTAGATGTGGGAATGAAGGGCTGCATGCTGAACTCATTTGAGGGAAGGGCCAGCCGTGCGCCAGAGAGGTCGTGGTTAGCTTGGGAGGGGCACAACGTGTACCATGACATCTTTTCTTTTTTGCATTGTTTCCGTTTTTTTTTTTTTTCATTTCCCTAACCACCCTTTCCCTTTCTCCTTCTCTCTGTACTTGCGGAGACTCTAAGCTCTTGCCATCTCACTGACGTAATGCACATTATAAATATCCTTTATAGCACAATGGTTGCAGAGATCTGCTGGTGAGCATTTGCCTGGTTGGACGGTCCTTTTTCAGGATGGTACATACCCTTTACTGCTCTTCTGTGGCAAAGTGATCAGTAAAAATTTAATGACACCATAAAATAATAAAAATGCCATTGATTTATCACAGCACTTGATGCAGACAGTAGTAAAGGCGCTGTAGCCTGATTTCTTTTTCGAGTCTTCAAACAAAAAGTCTGATGTTATGCATATAAATGATTTCTCTCGATAATGCTACGATATAAATTACAAGTTACAACCAATAAGTATATAAAACATAGTATATTAAATTTTATGGAAATTCATTGTATGATGTTTGAAGGTGTGCACATCAGTTTTTATGTTCATATTCACTTTCTCAATTACAGACTCTTTAATGTGCACTGTAAACAGTGTTACTGTCTCTATGTGGATATCAGCACTTCCTAGGCATGAATGAACTCTCTACCTCACTCCATTAAGTTAGACCCGAGACACTGAAGTGTCTAATCTTGTTTTCACGTACAATAGCTCCCGTCTGGCTCATTCTTTAATTATTGTTCTGGAAAATGAGAGTTTACCGTTTTTAATGAAACTCAGTGATTGATGCCCCTTGTTCCCCAAGCAGAGATCTGCTGGTGAGCATTTGCCTGGTTGGACGGTCCTTTTTCAGGATGGTACATACCCTTTACTGCTCTTCTGTGGCAAAGTGATCAGTAAAAATTTAATGACACCATAAAATAATAAAAATGCCATTGATTTATCACAGCACTTGATGCAGACAGTAGTAAAGGCGCTGTAGCCTGATTTCTTTTTCGAGTCTTCAAACAAAAAGTCTGATGTTATGCATATAAATGATTTCTCTCGATAATGCTACAATATAAATTACAAGTTACAACCAATAAGTATATAAAACAGTATATTAAATTTAATGGAAATTCATTGTATGATGTTTGAAGGTGTGCACATCAGTTTTTATGTTCATATTCACTTTCTCAATTACAGACTCTTTAATGTGCACTGTAAACAGTGTTACTGTCTCTATGTGGATATCAGCACTTCCTAGGCATGAATTAACTCTCTACCTCACTCTATTAAGTTAGACCCGAGACACTGAAGTGTCTAATCTTGTTTTCATGTACAATAGCTCCCGTCTGGCTCATTCTTTAATTATTGTTCTGGAAAATGAGAGTTTACCGTTTTTAATGAAACTCAGTGATTGATGCCCCTTGTTCCCCAAACTGATGTTTAATGATCATGACTTTATAAAATGAGTTGATTGATCAGAGTAAGCCAACAGAGTGGGGAGGAGGAGATGACACAAGCAAGTCATTTATAACCCCCCTCCACACACACACACACTCTGCAGTTGTTGGGCCCTTCCCCAGTGGACAATCCACGGCACATCGGCCATCGCTCGTGCAACTAATCGCACATCAGTCAATTTGTCATTGGGTGCTGCGCCTCTTTCATTAAGTGCAATAATGTGGTCTAGTGATGAATACAGCAGCGTAGGAGGCTTCACACGGAGCGTGGCACACCGAGCTAGCACTCCAACTTATTTTTACAAAGCCGCCTGAGCCCAGCAGGAACCGCTACATATGTCATAATTAGAAAACACTTAAATAAGCAAGGCAGAGTCAAGACAGGCAGCTCTTAATGACAGGCCATAAGCAGATAGTGGTTAATTGTACATCAGAATCCCTCAGATGGCCATAAATAATGATTGTTCCATCAAGCGTGGTGGTGGGAAATTGCAGTACTCTCTCTCTACAGCTCTTCTTTCTGTCCCTCTGATGCTTGTGCTGTGTTTTTTGAGTACTAATAATAGTTTTCAGTAGAAACAAGTCAGTAACAGATACTTGTATTTATTTTGGGCTAGTAGGCAATTAAAAGATAATTCAGATATTTTATAATTAATGCATTTGTAACAGCTTAAAGCAGCATTTATTGTTTTAAGGCCTGCTTTCAATGGACAGTAATAGTGCAACATTATTTGAAGCAAATACACATGCTGCATTTTCTAAAAATAATGTACATTACCATTCAAAGTTTGGGATTGGTAAGATTGTTTTAAATGTTTTTAAAAGGTCTTATATGCTCATTAAGGCTGCATTTATTTGAGTAAAAATACAGTAAACAGTAATATTGTGAAATATGAAAGAAATAATAATTTTCCATTTATATATATTTTTAAAATGCCATTTATTCCTGTGATGGCAAAGCTGAACTTTCAGAAGCTATTACTCCAGTCTTTATTGTGACATGATCCTTCGGAAATCATTCTAATATGCTGATTTGGTGCTCTTATTTCTTATAATTATCAATGTTGAAAATTACTGTACTACTTAATATTTTTTATAGACACTGTGATCATTATTTTCAGGATTCTGAATATAAAGTTCAAAAGAACAGCATTTTTTTTTTTGTTAAATAGGAATATTTTGTAACTTTAGAAATGTCTTTACTGTCACCTTTGATCAATTTAATGCATCCTTGCTGAATAAAAGTATTTATTTCTTGCACATTTTTAAACAGCAGTGTAAATATCCATATGAAAATAGTTCAGATAATCTGGGACTAATAATGGGCCTAATTGACATAGAAAAAAGGCATGTTTGCACTGAAAAGAATGACAGTTACATCATTTCAATATTTACAGGGCTAGTTAAGTGCATTTACAACCTTTTGTAAACTTGATTGCAGGTGGTTAGTGAACGTCACACAGGTTTTTATGCTGAAATACCACACACGAACGTGCCTGAAATGTTTAGTGAATTTGCCCCTCAGTAAAAAAAAAAATAAAAATGTTTAAAGTGACAACAGCTATAAGCACAGAATCATCCCAAGTAATCCACTATTGTCATGAGCTATTGACAAGTTGAGCCAGAGTGATAATCTTTTGCCGTGTGAAGAGCTTCCACACTCCATGGGTTCCCCAGTGGCAAAAATAACAGAAAACAAACAAACGAGCAAAACGTCCAAAGCAGCGCAGCTGAAAGATTAATGTGTACGTTGGTATCTGTGTCTGCGTCTGTGGCAGGGGAGCTGTTAGCATTGTGTTGGGAGGCCGCCCGAGTGTCTGTTTAAACTGTGTGTGATAGGCATTCTCTAAAGAAAAGACAATTCAAGCACACCTTTTGCCTGAGATTGAATGTACACCCTGGGAGAAGAACAAACGCTCTAGGGCCGACTCACCGTAACTTGCTTTGCTTTTAGTATCTGCCTGCCCTGTTCGGAGGGGGGAGAGATTACTTGTATCATGCAGAGTCAAAGTGTCCATCTCCTCCTCGAGTCTTTAGAGAGAGCGAGCTGGGCCTCCACTAATGCCCTGCTGCACTCACGGTAGAACTAGGTCATTTAACAATGGGCCCGAGCAGCGGTCGGCCCTCTTCTTCTGCATAATACATTAAGTCTAATGTGCTGCAACCATTCAGGAGGGCCCCCAAAAGCTGTTATTTTATTCTGTAAATGCACACGGACATGACATTTAATATTGTTGCACGGGTGAGGAAAGACAGGGGTTTATTGTGCATCAAGTGCGACATGATGCCAAGTTTAATCTGAACAGAAAGCAACACGACAAAAGGGAAAACATGGCGTGTTCCTCCAAGCATGAGCCTTGAATAAATGATAGACAGGAAGCTCAGGGCAGCAGAGACAGGGGCATGTACTGCAAAGATTAGAGAGCCGAAAAGAAAAAAATAAGCTGAACATTTCACTGGAGCTCCCAGGCTGCATTGTGTGCTCAGGATCTTTCAGTGTCGTTTCTTTTCTAGTAGAGTGTTCCAGACTCTTATCGGTACAAGTCCCAGCAGATGAAGACAGTAAGAGACTACAGCTGTGATAAAGATGACTTCACATGAGCCCATCAAAATGCATGCAAAGAGCATGTGTGTCCTGCAGGGTTGTGTGCCATTCAGTATTGAATTCGAAGTGCCTTTTAAATTTTTGAATTGTACAATTAAAATCTAATGAAATTGAAAAAAATTCATATAACTGCTATAAATTTAGTTTTTAATAATACATTGCAGTTTTCATAAAAATATATATTTGTATATAATATAAATATAATGGATATATATTTGTGTCTGTGTGCATATACAGTACACATGTAAAATAACTGAATTAAATCATAATAAGAATAATAATTGAATAATATGAATAATTAGTCGTAGTAATTTGCTACATTTATTAAATTAATTATTTAATGTTATGGTCATTGTAGCATTGTGGAAAAACACATAATTTCCCAGCCTGCTCTAATTTAAGCAACATGAAGCAGGCAGGTTTCATGTTAAGTTAAGACCTAAATGAATACAGTTTTCTTAATCACACATTTTAGCATGCAATGTGGTGCATAAGGACAAATCACTAAATATCTGTAGACGGGAAGCTGTATCTGAACACAAATTTTCTGTCATTTTTGCAGGAGAGGTCTCATTACAATAACCTGGGCCATCACCTGGGCAAACTAGGCGAGGATGGAAAGATTGGTCACAGAGTCATCGACCTCACCAGGCCAGAGGATTTCGAGGGTAAGTATCTATTTGTGATGTTTGAAAACATAACATGACTGCTCACTAATTCTCTTTGTTGTGCTTTGTACCCTTGCGTCTTGAGTCCAGTGAGGAACGAGGTCAGGTATCACATGATCACATGATCAGATTGACTGGATTCCACAGTTGCTTGGCCAGTGTCAGGGAAAGCTGATGGGGGTAATGCAGTGAGCAGGGCTGTATTTAAAGTTTTCACAGCTAGTTCTTGATGACAATGCTGGCCCTTCTCCAAGACCAGGCTGTGTTGCCACAGCTCATGTTTGATGTGCTGGGTGTGGAGGTGTAAATGATGATAGAACTTACATGACAAGGCGTCAGCTCCTTTTGTCACCCTGTTCATAAACAGAACGCTAATGCATGCCAGTGTTTTTTCTGTGTAATATAATTGTAACAGTTCCCATGGAAATCTACAGCCAATATATGGAGAAATAAAAACATTTTAATGAAAGTTTCATATAATTATGTTATATGTTTTTTTTTTTGTTTTTTTTTTACAATAAGCCTTTAAATCCATGAACAATAGTGAACAATAGATTTTTTTTGTCTTAAAGATGACAATGCTGGCCCTTCTCCAAGACCAGGCTGTGTTGCCACAGCTCATGTTTGATGTGCTGGGTGTGGAGGTGTAAATGATGATAGAACTTACATGACAAGGCGTCAGCTCCTTTTGTCACCCTGTTCATAAACAGAACGCTAATGCATGCCAGTGTTTTTTCTGTGTAATATAATTGTAACAGTTCCCATGGAAATCTACAGCCAATATATGGAGAAATAAAAACATTTTAATGAAAGTTTCATATAATTATGTTATATGTTTTTTTTTTTGTTTTTTTTTTACAATAAGCCTTTAAATCCATGAACAATAGTGAACAATAGATTTTTTTTTTTTTTTTGTCGTAAGATGATCAGCCTCGCATAACTCTGTTTGTTTATGAGCTTTCTAAAGCATAAATAATTTATTTTGGCTGGGTTGAAATCAAATCTGTAAATAGAGGTTTAGAGGTTTTTTCTGGTCTGGCATGATCTGCTCTAACCAAACCAGAGCAGATTCCCGCCAAGAAGCCTGTCCCACCCCTCTTAGATCAGTGAGAAAGCTGGGTCCTCGGATCCTTCAACACAGTGGGAACCTGTCTCCTGTAGGCTCCAGAACAGTCAGGGGCAGGGTTGAGGGCACCCAGCCACCCAAGTGATGCAGAGTTCCTTTAAAGTCCTAAGTGGAGGTGAAGGAACGGAGAACATCCTGTCAGTTTACTCCCAGTACAGACAGGATTAGAAGGCCACAGAGGTTTCTCATCCCAGTAGACAGGCGTCACTGTGAGCTCTCAGAGCCATCCCCATCTCCATCTTCCCGCAAACACATCGAGATGAAGGATGTGAACGGCATTTTATGATGATACGCCCCACATTAAATAGTCTCTTTTACAAGGAGAATGTGTTTACCCGTTGGGAAACATGGAGTGTTTACTTGTGTGTTTTTGTGTTTAGAGCCTTTTTTGATAGACCAAGTCAAACAAATTCCATTCCTCTCCCTGAACATTTGAGGAATGTGAGCACTGTGTATGCGATACCTACGCTTAAAAAAGGCAACTCTTCATCCTGTTTATTTGCAACTAGTCTTTGTTTTATTACGCTACTCTGTTCAGAAGCTTTGGGGCTTCGTCAATATAAGCTAGCTATTTTTTTAATGCACTTTAAATGATTTATCAGCTAAGTAGGAAACTACCATTTGAGAATTACATTTCTTGACACATTAACAGGGCAAACAGACTCATACAGTAATTGCCATGGAGAGCAGAGGAAAATTACTGAGTGGGTCCGTAACGGCTGTGTGCTTCCTTGTACAGAGGTCCTGCCTGCTGAAAAGACACGTTATATTGGAAAAGGCTCAGGGTGTAAAACAGCTCTCTGTCACTGTTGTAACTCGCAGAAAGCTTTAGGTTGCTTGAACTAATATTTGCAAAGCATGCAGCAACCAAATTAACAGCTGCCAAAGTTCTAACGAGAGAGAGGCCGTTGGAAAATAACGGTGGGGTATGGAAATAGATAGAATTTCCTTCATTTCGCAAAAAGCCATGAGCCACATGCATCAGCTCACCGCAAAGTCATTAGGTCTTTATAAGCTCAGATGAAAAACATTAACTAATACCACAAAAGGCTTTAGTATGGCCCCTTTGTTCATTCACATATGGCAGCGTATGAGTTTTGTTTGCCGAAAGGCTCGGGTCGTGCGTGTGTTTAAACTATCTCTGTCAGACGGGGGTCTTAGCAGAACAAAGGATGTGTTGAGAGATTCCAGGGGCAGGAAGTTGAGGTAATATCAGCACACTTTTGAGACAATGCCGGCCAAAATGAACGATGACTATGTGATCTCTGAGCTATGTTAATTCTGTATTATTTATGCATATGGCTAAATTGTGGCAAGGTTATCACTGAATTATTATAGGGTAGCAATCTGAGGTTCACTGCAGTCAAAGCAAAGAAACCAATAGCTCAATCAGACATTTTGTGTGTTAGACGATTTATAGAATAAATATAGAATAGATACGTCATTGTATAAAGGAGTATGATAAACAGCACCATATTATGTCATAATAAGAACACAGAATATACAAGGATCTACACTACTATTCAACGATTTGTGGTCTGTAAGATTTTAATTTGTATTTATTTATTTATTTTAAAAAGATGTCTTGTATGGCCACCAAGGCTGCATTTATTTGATCAAAAATACAGAAAAACAGTAATATTGTGAAATATTATTACAATTTTAAAAACTGTTTTCTATTTTAATGCATTTTAAAATGTAATTTATTCTTGTAATGGCAAAGCAAAGCTTTCAGAAGCCATTACTCCAGTCTTCAGTGTCACATGATCCTTCAGAAATTATTCTAATATGCTAATTTGCTTTTGTGGAAATCAGAAAGTTCAAAATAACAATTTATTTCAAAGAGAAATCTTATGTAACATCATACATGTCTTTACTGTAATCAATTCAGTGTGTCCTTGCTGAATAAATGTAATTAAATAAATATTACTGACAACAACTTTTTGAATGGTTGTGAATATGGAAGCCCATTACTGCCAAAGACTAAAAAATACAACTTAAAAACTTTTAGTAAAAAAATAAATAAAAAATAGGCCTAAGAAAAAAGACATATTGTTACATATAAAGTCATATAACATAACATATGGCAAGCAAATAAACTACCAATTTTGAGACATAAACTTACAATTGCAAGAATGAATATTACCTTTTTTTTATTTTATTTCTTTTTCTGAGACAGAAATCCATAGATCAAAACATACAGTTTTATCACACTCATGTATGTGTGTCTTGTGTCTGTCTGTGTTTTCCCAGCATTTCCATTGCCAGTTCTTTATGCAGTTTTACTGTCTCTAAAGTCTGCATGTCAGCCCAGGACTCCTTTCTTCGGCAGTCTCTAAAATGGTGTAGTGCGAAAAGGAATTTAGCATGGCCCTCTTCAAGACCTTACAACATCCAGGGCAAGATGCATGAGAAACAATAGCTTAAAGAAACATGAGCTAACAAGTTGCGCTTTTGTCGGTTTACACTCTCTCACACACAGAGCAGAATTCCAAATATCCAGCTGGGTGCAACTCAACAATTGGCACATTAAAGTGGGGGGCTTCAATCACATGTAAGTTGTAATGGCTTAATTAGCAGAATATGAGTGCTGACATGAATGGTAGAGCAGAGCATTGTGTCATATCTGTCTGTGCGCATTAGGAGAGACTCCCATTGTCAGCACTGAATACCTTTGCAGAAAGGCGTCTCTTTCTTTATTGGATCGTCCGCAGAGGGCCTGGCAGGTTTGCGTGATCGTTGCTTGTTTCTCCAAGCGGATTCTTGAGTGACAGTCTGTGTGTGCCCTCAGAACAAAAGGCTAGCTGCACCGAGAGCCTGAGAGGCTCAGCCTTTTGGCTCCGTTCCGCGTACCGTCGTGTCTGGGCCTGCTGCAGGCAGGTGTGCAGGGCCGCGGGGCCCCTTTCGCTCGTACACTTCCACGCAAGCTCTCTCTCTCTTTCTCTGTAATACAGTCCCCCTCCACTCTCCCTCCTGTTCACCGGGAGAGACAAATTAAATAGAGATTCTTGTATCACTCTGTCATGTTGGGCACTGGGTCTCATAAATCACAATAAAGTCGATTAGAAGCCTCCTGCCGTCTCGCCCGCCCACCCTCACGCACCTCAGGGGGTCTCCCGTGGCATCCTGAAACATCTGCATTTATTTACACAATAACACACCTAACTAGGTGCTTCCTAAAAGAGCTGCACGGGGAGGGGGGGGGACGTCAATTAATACTAATTTGTAAATGTCAGAAGCATGTAAGCTTTCTTATTAAACAACAACAAGCAAGAAAAAAAAGCAGAGGGTTGTAAATTGGTTGTTGTAGATGCGGGGTGACGTCGCACGAGCCTACCTCGCTGGCAACTCTTTGGCTGCTTTTGATTAAGGCACATCATGACTGCAATGGGTGGGGGGGGCACGGACCACGGACCACCCGTGTCTGCGAGCAAGGCTCTGTGCCAGGGGCCGCCGCTCGTCTCGTCCCGCAGAGCACCGGCACTCTGTAAGTCGGCTCTCATTCCTGCGATCCGCTCAAATGACTGAGAGTGCTGAATCTGTCTGCTGACGCACTACAGCAACAATAGGGCATGAGCTGATTAATACAACCAACCCTAGTTGCTCTCGCCCTCTCTCAGTGAAACAGAGAATTGAATCCGATCTGCAATTTAAAAGTCCAGCTGCTGGGTTCCTGCATATAAGCTGCTCACCTCTGCCTATATCTGCATGCATGCCAGTATATAAATTGCTGAATCAGTGTCAGTGGTAAAGTAATGGCACGGGGCGAATCGTAAATTAGAGCCGGCCATGCCCCTCCCCCTGAACAGACAGTGGCGGTCGTGTCTGGGTGAGGTAGCCGAGCGAGTGAGCTGGGGTTGGCAAGGTAATGAATGCCTTCATCTGGCCCCGGCAGTCAGCAGATTGCCCAGCGTTGATGGATACTGTCAGCCCTACGCCACACTACATTTCATTGCACAATAAACATGGCTGTCAAAGCCAAACAAAGTGAAATCAATTTATCTTGCACGGTGAGCGCGTGCTAAATGAAATTAATGTACTGTGCGGGGAACGCCGTCACCATATAATCCCGACGGAAGGGGCAGGGAGTGGGCTGGAACGAGACGGCTGCTTGTAGTGTGTTTGGTGGTACAAAGTTGTGGAGAGGAAAGAGCAGAGAGACCCTGACTGATGCTCCATGACTGTGTGGAGCTGGGCAGCCAGATAAACAGCAGCCCTTTCTGGATTATTATGATTGTTAAACATGACGTGTAAATGGATCTTTTGGGCCCTGTGCAAAGCCGTTCTGCCCAGCAGGGCCTGGAGGATAGAGCCTCCTGCTGGCTGCCTGAAACTTAGACTCTGCCTCTTTCTCTCTCCGGGCCCCAGTGTGGCACGAGTGTGTGTGTGTGTGTGTATGCATAGAGAAGGTAGCTCTTCGACATTGCCTATTTTCCTGCTCCTCCTCCTTTGAGCAACGCTCTGCCCTCGGAATAGTCTCGGTATCCCGGTGCTTTAATAGCGGTGTAGTGCCAAGATCCATTACTAAGCTGGAGTTTTTATTTTGTTTATCAACACCAGTGATAATAGAAATCAAAAGCAGGTACAGTGTGCCAAGACTTTAAGTTTCAGGGTCCTAATGAATACACATCACATGTGGATGATGAAATATTCACGACTGATTCCAAGCCTTCTTATCCAGTTTTTGGATCATTAAAGATGTATCGGAGCATATGGGAAGGCTTTTTTTGTTTGTTTGTTTTATTTTTCAAGCCTTGTTTATCAACATGTTTTTGTTTGTTGAAATATTCATACAGCTTTTATTTAATTCTTTCACATCTTACATATAAAAGGAAGCAAATGTGCATGCAAACAGAATCATTTTTACTCTGCTGTAAAGTTAAATACAGAAACTGGGGGACACACATGCTGATTGTGAATGGCCTGATTGAGGAGTTACAATCCTTCAAGTCTGTTTGCTCTGTATCGCACTCACATAGTGCAATACATGTACAGACATACATTGGGGGAAGTCGTGGCCTAATGGTTAGAGAGTCGGACTCGTAACCCAAAGGTGGGGGGAGTGAATGTACAGCGCTCTCTCCCACCTTCAATACCACGACTGAGGTGCCCTTGAGCAAGGCACCGAACCCCCAACTGCTCCCTGGGCGCTGCAGCAAAAAATGGCTGCCCACTGTTCCGGGTGTGTGTTCACAGTGTGTGTGTGTGTTCACTGCTGTGTGTGTCACCATACTTGGCAACATGTCACACGTCACGTCACACCAGGCCACATTCACTAACTCTGCATACGAATAAGTGTGTAAAACCTCTGATCATTTTAATAGAAAAAACAATTTTTTATGTACTTTATATCAGTTTTTTTATTTTACTTTACTATACTTTACTGTACTACACTGTACTGTACTGTACACTATACTTTACTGTACCTTTCAGGTACCATCTTATGTTTATCCACTAGGTCTGCCCTTTGTCAGACTCTGTATGCACATTGAAAGTAATCACATGGAGATATATGTTTTGTCAGGACATTGGCAGTGATCCTCTCTTCTAATTTTACCTCTCTTACACAAACACCCTTATGCCATATTTGTTATTAAGAGCATTACCGTTATTACTCATAGCAGGAGAAACATTACGACAGTCATCCAGAAATGTACGGCTGTTCGAATGTATGAACGTTGTGACCCAGACAAAATATTTAAAAGGCATTATAGCCAGGGTCCTCCTCGTCTGATTTCAGCTAGTTTTCACTCATCAGTAGTTCCTCGACCCACAATGCTGTCTTGTTCTACACTGCAAAACATGGGCTTGTCCCATCCAATTCTGGGATGGGCAGCCTGGAGTATAAGGTACAGTTGCAGGCCTCTCGGGATCTCCAAACACAGCTTCTCTGGTTCAGCTCCATTCACTCTGATGTGCTGATGGATGCACTGCACTACAAAGTTGATTAACGGTCTGCACTCGCTCTCTCCTTCTTGCTCTGGTGTTCCTAGGGTGTAAGGAACTGAATGGCTCTGCAGATAAACCACATCAGTATTATTGTTGGCCAACAGGAGGCGCCAGTACTGCTGATGCACGGGTCTACAGGGAACCCCGGGGAAGGAACAGCAACGAACCTCACATCAAACGGCCCATGAACGCCTTCATGGTCTGGGCCAAAGATGAGCGCCGCAAAATCCTTCAGGCCTTCCCAGACATGCACAACTCCAACATCAGCAAAATATTGGGTAAGTCACAGCCCCCAAATCAGTCACGACCAGCAGCCATGGCCGTCTGTGTTAGCCTTTCCGTTTACAATTAAGCCATGCTCCATAACAATAAACTGAACTGGTATCCTGGGAACTATTGTAGAGTGCTTCAGAAACTGTTGAAAATGTCTTTGCTTGTTTTGGATCACGCTAACCCAATAGTCTTTCTTAACACAGCCGTTTAAACAGTCATTTTACTTATTGAAATTACTTTACTTGCTTTCGAAGTAACTATTCAAGGAATGATAGGCTAAGTTTCTATCCAAGTTCTGAAATAACTATTAGCAAAAAAAAGAAAAGAAAAAAAGTGGAATATTGCAAAAACAATTGTGAAATAAGCAGACTCAAGGCAGAGTCACATGACTTTTGGTGATGTGCATTTAGAAATGAATTAAATTAGTTTCCATTGTAGTTTAAGCACGTCATCTGATAAAATAATGTACCAAGTGAGCATACTTTGTATTTACAAATTCCATACAAGTGAAATGCTAAAAAAACACACACACACAGATTAGAACATGGTTAATGGAATTTTGTTAATGGGATTTACAAACCCCCCCCCCCCATAAAAAAATATTTGAATAATATATCCTTATGAAGACACTGATAATATCAGCATGAATTAGGACAGCAGAAACACTGAACCTCTGTTAAGGTAAATGGAGGGTCTATTTTTGCCAAACTGAAACAGCCCACTGTTCTGAACCAAAACCAAAACTTACAAGGCTAAAATGTAGCTGAATTGGACCTTTAAGAAAGGCTGAGTGTTATGTTGATTGACTAGATATTTCAGCTGTAGTACACCGGACCTTGAATTGCACAAAATATGCAAATTAATATCGCCACGCCAGCTTTTCCACTCTTAACAATCAATAGACAAGCATTGCATAGCTACTAAGCAAAACATATGTTGTGAATAAGATGTTCTGGCTATTACCACACCTGCCTAATCTTCTTTTGCAAGTAATTCCACACAATTCAATGCATCTCAAACAGATGAGCGCGGTTAAACTTGATGGCTAGATGCCTGCAGGAGCAGCTCAATTAGATGGATTTAGTGGCTGTCACGTGGGCAGTGTTTGTCATGAAAAATGACAGGGCTAAATGGGTCTTGTCCCCCAGTCCAGAGAGTCAATAGATCACAGCAACTAAAAGAGCCGTCAGCCCAGACATTCTGAAGGCTGGAGATATTTACTAGCCTGTTGTTTTCACTAATGCAGAAACGGTAACAGTAATGCTGTTACCCTCCATTCACAAAAGCAGTGCTTGCCTCAGAATAATGCAGTTATTCTCAAAGCTCATTTTGTCTGTAAATGTAAAAATAAATTCAGATATAATTATTTACTTTATTAGTTTTATTAAAATTTATTGAATCATAAATATGTTTTTATAATAAATTACAATTTTGTTATAAAATATAATTAGAAGTCATTCTTTCTCCATGAAAAAAACATTGTTTATTCATTTTATTAAATTGTATTTAATTAAAAAAAAAGTAAAAAACAAAATAAAATATCATTAGAAGTCAGAAGTCAAAAAAAATAAATAAATCTGCAATAATCATTTCTCACTCCTAACCTGTGGTCAACAGGATCTCGCTGGAAGTCCATGACAAACCAGGAGAAACAACCATATTATGAGGAGCAGGCACGGCTCAGCAAGATCCACCTGGAGAAGTATCCCAACTACAAGTACAAGCCCCGGCCCAAGCGCACCTGCATCATCGATGGCAAGAAGCTGCGCATCGGCGAGTACAAGCAGATGATGAGGTCGAGGAGGCAGGAGATGAGGCAGTTCTTCACTGTGGGGTAGGCACACGGTGGAACAAACGCAATGAACAATAGCAGGCGACCGTCCAAGATGCCCTGCCCTCTCTTAAACCCCTATACGCTGTTAATAAAGCCAGCTTAGAGCTCTCACAATAGGCAGGTAATGACTCCATACCATGTGCCAACTCCTGGTGTAAAGCCAGTGACCCTTTAATCAAGTTGATTGGAGTAATTCAACCACTTAGCTCATTTGTCACATTATATGGCCCTCGCACTTAATATTAATATATGCTTTGAAGCAATATGGGCGCAGCCTTTTGTTGCCTAAACACTCCCTTTGTGATTATATGCTGTGGTAAATTTATTTTTTCTCAAAGGAGGGGAAATGCACTATATGGCCCTGGGTTGAATCCCATTGACAAAATAGTATTTTCTTTCAGCTGCCTGAAAGTAGTGGTTTATCACATTTAGACGGTAACAGAGGGCAGCGGGACTCACATAGCCATTATTTTAGGATATTAGAGTCGAGTATGAATGTAGAGAGGGCTGCAGGGCAGATGTTTGGAGCTCAACTCTATAATTTACTGCATGTGGTGAGTGGAGAAAATGCCGGCTCCAGGTGTTTCCACTTCAACAGCAAGAAATACGAGCGCTGGAGTATCAATCAGCCTGTTAAAGATCAGGAGACTGTCTCTCTATCAACCAATTGGCTTTGTCACCCTGAAAGGAATGAGTGTCATTTTCACAATCGTTCCCAAATCGTTGTCGCTGATTGGGAATCATTTTTACAGGACTACTGGCTGGGCACGTTCCATTCAAGCCAGCGTTTAAAACTCCACAGGCTTTATGCTTTCAACCAGCGTTTTGTGTGCTTCTGTACATTCTTTCCATTCTCGAATTCCCAGAGACCGTAATTGTTTTCCTTGTGAAGCTTTAAACTTGTCATCCGTCTCTTAAAAGCTCTTATGCTTTTCTGAGCATACTGGCACTTCATAAGCGTAAATGTGTCTGTTTCTTCACTTCTGTATCAGGCAGCAGCCACAGACGCAGATCCCCATCACCACCAGCGCAGGTGTCGTCTACCCCGGTGCCATAACCATGGCGACCACTACGCCCTCCCCTCACATGACGTCAGACTGCTCAAGTGCCTCGGCCAGCCCCGAGCCCACCATCCCCGTCATCCAGAGCACCTTCAACATGAAGATGGAACCGGGCACCATGGTGTCTAACGCCCCCGTGAACGGAGAGGATGAGATGGACATGTACGAGGACTTTGAGGACGAGCCCAAATCGGACTACAGCAGTGAGAATGACACACAGGAGCCGGTCAGTGCCAACTGAGGTGAAAACAGCCGGCGAAGAATATCCTTTTATTAGAAGGAAGACTGAAGAAGACGAAAAAGAGGACAAAAAAAAAAAGAAATCAAAAATCTTGTTTCTGATGATATACATTTTGGGAGCCAGCATGCAGATGTGGCTCCTGCAGATTTAACAGCTATTGGTCTTAACTGTTTCTCCAAGTGTGAAACAATTTGATTGTGTTTTATTTTGGCTTTTTTTTTTATTATTTTATTGAAATTTTTTTCTTGTGTTTTGATCATGGACAATTTAGGGTATTTCCTACGACATTTTTGAATAATAGGACTTGACAATTGAAACATTCTTGAAACAGTCTTACTTAAATTCAAATGGATTTACACGTATTTTTTTTTCTTTTGAAGCGTACATTACTGTTTTCGATGGGGTTCTATATCTCACTCAGGTATGCTGTACCAGCCAACAGCTTGTGAATGTTTTTAATCAGAACTATTTAAAATGAAAAAGACGACGCTTCATTTGACATTTCATAATACGATAAAACTGAAGAAATCCGTACATTTGCTGAATGAACCATAGAGGGAAAGCCTAAAACTCCCCATTATTATTGTTCTTGTTATTATTATTACTATTATTACTACTACAAGTCCAGATGTGCCAAACATATCATAAGCTTCCTGCTCTTAAATCTTAAATTTGAAAGTCTTAAGGGAGAGACTGCTTGAGTCTTAGACAATCCTTGCAATCTTATCTACAAAGCCCACTTTTTTTCCTCCTCTCCCTCTTTTTTTGTCCTCTCCATTGACTACCATGTCCAAATGCTCAGGAACTAAGAATGCCATAGTTCTCCAGGAGGTTCAATGCAGTGATCGCCCGACCACCGCCCTCGTCTTCTCTCAGTCGTCTAGTTCAGTCTTACCCGCTCAGTTCTTAATCACAGTGATTGTAATCAGGCCAGAATGCCAAGGGGCCAAATGGCATCCAATCTGCAGAATTGGACAGGCAGTGAAAGGCAGCTTTGGTGTATTACAATCACAAATTGCTGTTGTACAATATGTACGCACACATTCTGCTAAATCTTTAGCCCGTTTTCCAGGGCAGCAAGTTTAAAGTTTTTTATTTACACTTAAGTCTTGTAGACATTGTAATCTTAACTGACAGAAATAGTCTTAAAGCAGAGCGTATGTCCTTTGGGCTTCTGCAGTGTGTTCATCATTATGTCTTAAGAGAAAGTCCAGTTTATCAGGATGATTTGGCCAGTTATGCAGAGGGTTAAGGAGAAAATGAACTAAACGAATAATGGCACTTATTTTCCAAATTTTCAAAGGGTACGTGGATTTGAGATACTTTAATTGTATTTATTTAAAGATATGTTCAGAAACATACATTTGAAAATGCAATTTAAATCATTTAATTGGATTAAATCTTTTTTGAGCACTTGAAAAAAAAAAAAGACAATTCAAATAGACAGTCCTGCGTTCTACTAAATTATCTGCTCGTTCCGGCAGCAGAATAGATCTCAGGTTGTTTCCATGTGGAAGGACAGCCAAGAAGCAGCCAGCGGTCAGGGCCTCTTGTTTTAGGCTTTGGCCCTACTGAAAGCTCCTACAGGGTGCGAGTGCCATTCACCTCCACTCACCTGACCTCTGCCCAGCGCACACCCTGCCTCAAGGGGCTGCCATCTGGCTCCCGGCATCGGCCCGTGCCCAGGAGAAAGGTAGCGAACAATGGAGACGAGGCCCATGTGGTTTATTGTGCTCTCCCTCCATCAAAGCGCTCGCGAAAGGCCGCGCGGCCAGAAGCAGCCACGAGATGCTAGCGAGCAGATGGAACAAGTAGATCAAGCTGTGGGGGATTATTAAAATGACTGACGAGTCGGTATCATCTGAAATACGGCATTATTAATGCATGAGTCCCGCTATTTTGCCTTTGCCCTTGAACCTGTCTGTTTCATCAGTAACCCAGAGATTAGAATAGACAGGAAATGTCACAGCGAGGCTGCTGGTCACTGCATTACCTCCAAAGGTCTAAAAGGTACCGATGGCTATTTAGCGCTTACTTCTCCCAGCAGTTGAAGCATTGACTTTTCTCCTCAGCGCCCCTCTTTGAAAAGCATTTACTTAATTCGTAGAAGTTTTGAGCACTTCTTAAGAAGCTTGTATTTGTACCTTTTATTTTGTTGGTTTTTGTTTAAGTTTGTTGTGATTTTTACATAAGGTACAATACTTGGCTGGGTGTCCCTTGACATCCGCGTTCATTTTTTTTTTCTTCCCTTCTTACAAGCCAACGTTTATTGTTTAAAGCTGTTATATCTGTTTGCTGGTGGATTGGTTGATTTGTGCGTGATTTGTACGTATTTCCTTGACCATGCCAAGCCAGTTCTGTAGGCTGGTAGCAGACAAAAGGACTGTTGTTGGGACTGAAACTTGATTGCGCTTGTATAGATTAAAAAAAGAAAAGAAAAGAAAAGAAAGAGACTATTTCAATCTCACACGGAGACAATGATTCAAAAGTGTTACAAGCACTGGATATAAATGGTGTTTTTTATCAATTCTGACTAATGTGAAGCCACTGTGCGAGGAAGAAAAAAAAAGAAAGAAAAAAAGCTACACGAACAAGTCACCTGTTTGGACTCATGTGAGCACGCCTCACAGTTGCCAGATTTGAATCTCTTGACATATTTTGTTTATTTATGCAAAGACGCGTGATGAATGAACACTTTGTTTAAGCTCCAGTGCTGCCTAGGGGAGAAAGCAGTAAACTCGACGGAGAGGCTCGCATAGTGACTGGCCAACTGAGACACACACCGGACTTCAGTAGCACATTTTGATGGTCATGTATGTTTGTGTTGTATATTGTATTTGAAGCTCTCTAGTGCATATAGACATTTTATTGTATTTATTAGCCATTATTGGCTCTAAAAGTGTCAGTAGAACAGAATTAAAGGACAATCAGAGAACAAGAATAAAAACAGTGAAATTTCAAAATGGAT